CTTTCATGGGGTCTTGTAACCCCGAAAGCTGGTATATCTTATCTAAATTAACCTTGGTTACATCCCGTGCTGTTTCGAATATATAATTAGATTTATAGGTCCAATATCAAGCAAAAAATTCTGATCTCCGGTACTGATGTTACACTTACATGATCTCCGACGCGAGGATCTCCGAAGTCCGATCTTAAAGTTGGATCTCAGAGCCAAAAAGAGGAACCTAAGCCTTGGTTCCTCTCTTTGAGAGTCAAACAGGAAATTCGGTGTTATCAACTCAAACTCGAATTTGTAGCACAATTAAAAAACCAAAGAATAAAATTCTTAATGAATTTCCCGACATCCTAAAATTAATATCAGGTCGTATTCGATTCAGTGGCCCAAACTCCAGTAGGTAACAAGACTTGAGTTCAAGTCGAGTACCACTTTGATTAAGCATGATCCTGGAGTTTTCGCATATCATGCAGTAGTTATCTACTAATCACTCCTAAACTGAGCGTTTTAGAGTCGAATCTCGAGCCCTGCCATTCAGCCAAGTAATCTTAATCTGAAGTTCTAGAATTACAGTTCTAATGTTCTAGTACTAATGTATTAGTGCCCTAGATAAGATCTCGAGGCAGCTGTAATAACAAAAGAGCTAGCTAGTAACCACTTGATTAAAAAACGAGGGAATGACACACATTATCATACGATGGGAAAATCTATGCGAACCAAACCACTGCGGTATTACTATTATGGTAAATGAGCTAACTTAAACTGCAACCAACAGATCTCAATCAGCGATTACAGACCAATATTGGTCGAGGCAGTGAAGTCAATTATAATTATAAAGTGGGGTACTGGTCAGCGGTCAAGCAACAATCTGGCCCGGATCCAGTGCCGATTTATTTTAGGTCCGGTATTATTAGGTACTTTAGTCATGGTTCATGGTTATGAATGAATAAAATTTGAAGTTGAATTTTGGTCTGGCACGTCACACATTTTGGCTAAATTGGTGCCAAGGAAAAATTGTTGGAGTTTTCACAAATCATGCAGTAGTTAAACTTATTTACTAATCACTCCTAAAGTGAGCGTTTTTGAGTATATGATGTGCATGAGTCGGCAATTGCAAACAATTTGCTGTTAGCAACTGACCCTTTGACCTTTACTTTGACCTTTACTAAAGTAACCGTAATTTTGAAAAATTGCCCTTTCGTAAGACACAAGTATGCTGCTGAGTGCTGTCCTGGCCCATTAAGAGAGATGCCCAATAAAGAAGATCATTCTCCAATTTTTGTAGGTGTTTCTGGACACAAAGTGAGTCGTCTTACATCTTGTGACAAATGCTATATTGCTCATGAGTCTTTAAGACCTTTCTAGTTAACAGTCCAATAGCCCATTTGTGAATACTGTCATTGTTCGCGAGGCAAAAATCCATTTTTCAGCCATATTTTCGAAAGTTAGCCTTTTAGGGTATATGTTGCTTCATAAGGTGTATATAAATGTGGCCATTATGTACATTTTAGTGTATCAGAATAGTCTCTACAACCTTCCTAGGCGGAAATGCTAAAAATCACGGAAATTATGAACTGCGTCAAGCCAAAAACCATTTTCGGCCATATTTCCGAAACGAAGCATTTTAAGGTATATTTTGCTTGATAAGTTGTATATAAATGTGGCTATTAGGCACATTTTGGTGTATCGGAATAGCCTTTAAGACCTTCCTGGACCGAAATACAAAAATTCGAGTGACCGCGAAACCCTGAAAAAGGGTGTGGCCGAAAACGCCCTCATTGCATTTATTTCAAAAATGCAATGAAGTCCAAATGTTTTAAGAATCATCTAGAGAGGTGATAACCGTTGAGAAATCGCTTTTAACACGAAAAGCTAACGAGATTCCGTTTCGTCCCTGACTATAATATCGCATTAATTACATATTTTTTACATTAATTACATATTTTGTCGTGTAAGATAATATAAGGGCTCGTCCTACTGTCTGCAATTACCAGTGGTGTTATAAAACATTCTTATACTATTCAAATGTTATTAAATATACTTAGTGACATTCCAGTTAAGACATTTGATAAGACTTTAATTACATGCTTTATATCAGTTTTCAGCCCATATCAGTGTAAAATGTGAATTTTAAATATTAGCGCTGTCTGTAGAAGTGCTACATAATAATATATACTTTTCGAATACTATTAGATATGCTAATATTCCACCAAATGTATTATATCACGACCATAAAAAGGATAATATCTAATATCGCATTACTTAAATATTATTGTTACTTACATATGTATTATTATTGCAATGTCAGTTTAAAATGTAAGACAACATCCCGGCTGACTGTCTGTAACGAATGTTATAACATGTAATAATTATATATTTTCAAATATTATTCAAAATATGCTTATTAATGTTCAACACCGTATGCTAGCACAGTATAGATGGGGTATTTAATATCGAATTAATAACATATTTTATCAACATATCATGTAGTGAGCAATGGTCCATCACAGTACTGTTGTGACTGGCACAGTAATCCTATTCCACGACGGCACAAGACTAGAAATAATAATAATCTTAATTTTATGGAAGGTGAGAAAATCAGGCTATAAATACCGAGCTGAAAGCTAATGTTTCTGAAGACTTAAACAAGTTAAGGAGTTTAACTTGAAGGAGTCAGCGGTTGTCCTGTGTACTTGTCTGGCAGGCAGCTTGTACTGTTTAGGTTCAGTGGTTGGTGGAAACTGTATTTATCCTGACACGTGTTAGTCAGTCACGTGACATTAACACGTGACACTCATGTGTTAGAACAGTCACGTGACAGTAACACGTGACACTCATGTGTTAGAACAGTCACGTGACATTCATGGTTCTGGGGTTTTACAGTTCAGTGCTGGAAGCTGATTGGATATTCGCTTAGTTTTTATTGCTTGCAATGGAGGCTCATAAATTTGTCTAGTTATTCTCATCATACTTACTTTACTTTGGGCGATGCTCGATCGAAATCTCCTCCACTCTACGTCTCCAGATGGTTCTGTCGCACATAACTGTTCGAAGATCTTCTACCCGCAACCCTGTGTCCCTGGCTACGGTGTCAAGAAAAGAGAGTGGTCTCCTCCCATGCCCAAACTGTGGCAGCCGCCAAGGAAGGATCATAGTGTGTGCGTTAAGGCTTAAAATCTCTTTAAAAAGTGAAGACTATGTTTATTATGTAATGTGACAAAGCCAGCGACAAGGCTTGCAATATCTTTAAAGAAAAATAAAGTCTGTCCGTTTTTCTATCTAATGTGCTCAAATTATCTGTTGGTTAAATTTCAAGTTATTTAATTCGTTATAAATTATAACGTTATATAAATTAATTCGTTATAAATTATAACGTTATATCAAATTATTTGTTAATCGCTATGTTAGGCATATTCGCACAAACACAGTAATAGTGTTGAAAGTATTAAAAATAAGGTTCTGTGAGCTGAAAGATAAGCTAACTAGAATTTCCTTCTGTACTGAAATTATTTCTTAATAATATATGTATTTATGATTTAAATTATCTTAGAAATACTGCTTAGAAAAGAGAATTTGGCGCAGAATGCAAGCCTTATGATTCTGTTTTTAGAGAAAGATCAGATAGCTGCGTTACACTATCTGTTATCTAGAACTTTAGCATAATATCATATAGCATATATTCTGGTTGGAATGTCTCTGACTGGAATACCCTTCTGTAGTCTAGGTGTCAACTCGGAATTGTGTTACACCTGTTACAGCTGGTAGAACGTAATGTGTGATAAAACCAGTAGAGGTTTGATAAGAATATATTATGCATAGAACGTATCTGTTACGCTTAACTGAACAGCACATATCTTCGAATCAAAACTCGTAATTTGTTTTATTACTTGTATCACGTTTTATTACGTTCTATTACTTTAATCACGTTTTATTACTTTTATCACGTTTACTGCACGCTCAGAAAATACACACAGTTTCACACAGAGAGCGGAACTACGATAATGAAACCAAGGCGGTGAAACTAACTCCACTTACTGACCCTATATCACGTCACCATTTGCTTTTGTTTGAGCGTCAGCGGAGTGATTAGCTTAATTTGTTAAGTATTAACTAATGGTGGTATGTACGTGGTGGGTATAAATAGATAAAAGTAGGCACTATTGTCTCTCTTGCCGGATTGATAGAGTCCCACAAAGTATTGAAACTAAGTGATAAGTATCCAAAATATAGTCACGTGATAAGTATTCTATACCCCGCTCACAGGAAGCCTCGGTAGAGTAATTAAACTGCAGGCAGGCTTGTCGAGCTTGTAGTTGTCACTTGTCGGCAACCTTGTCTAGTTTGTAGTTGTAACTTGTCGGCAACCTTGTCTAGTTTGTAGTTGTAACTTGTCGGCAACCTTGTCTAGCTTGTAGTTGTCACTTGTCGGCAACCTTGTCTAGCTTGTAGTTGTCACTTGTCGGCAACCTTGTCGAGCTTGTAGTTGTCACTTGTCGGCAACCTTGTCTAGCTTGTAGTTGTCACTTGTCGGCAACCTTGTCTAGCTTGTAGTTGTCACTTGTCGGCAACCTTGTCTAGCTTGTAGTTGTCACTTGTCGGCAACCTTGTCGAGCTTGTAGTTGTCACTTGTCGGCAACCTTGTCGAGCTTGTAGTTGTCACTTGTCTGCAGTTTTTCTGACTGTAAGGATTCGCCCAGTAGACACTTGGACAGTTAGTAGTTACAATCCAAGCTGAAGCCTCTCGGCTGTAATGTTCGCTCTAAAATTTAGAAAATTTAGAAAATTTTAAAGGCACCTTTAGGTTTCTAGGTAGTGAAATAGACCCCAACTATTGAAGTTGGATCCAGGACGGGGGAATGGGTTCAATATATTGAGAACGGGGGAAAAGTTAAGGTTTTAACAATGATGATAAAAATAGAAACAATGGTCCTCACCCAATCTTATTACTGATAACTAACATAGCTCTCCATGCAACTGATCAATTAATTAACTAATTTCCTAAATTCCTGCAGGACGACGAGAACATGTTTGTTTCTCACGGAACGGGAGTCATAGAGGGAGAGAACATCAACATTGGTGAGTATTTAGTAGTGTGAAATCAGTTTATTTAGTTAAACACCAGGCCTTCCTGGCTCAGTTGGTTAGAGCGTCAGTCTCATAATCTGAAGGTCGTGAGTTCGAGCCTCACGGAGGGCAGTATTTTGCTTGCGATACATCTTATTTTTAAAGTTTAAAAGTTTAAAAGTAAAGAAATTGTAACGATGAACCATGCTTGCCATGATTGGTGTCAGGTATTTAGTATATATATTATACAAAATCATGATAACTTAACAAGATTATTATATAATATTATATAATAATCTTGTTAAGTTATCATGATTTTGATGGTTTTTGATGATATTTAACGTCAATCAGTTATTGTCATTGATCTTATACTTTTGAGCAAGGAAATAACTTACCACAATGTTTCCTTGTGTTGAACTAAGAGAATTTATAAAACATTTTCCTTGTGTTTGACTAACACTAGATCTAATTAGGTGACCTTGTAATGTTTGCCCTGAACTTCGAGCACGATGGGATGTACACGTGTGCAGCGTACAACTACCAACTTGATGACGGTTCTAATCAGATAGACGTTGCTTATTATAACGTTACCATCGGAACAAGTTAGCGTTCGTTTTTTCGTTTGTTCGTTTGTTCGTTTGTTCGTTTGTTCGTTCGTTTGTTCGTTTGTTCGTTTGTTCGTTTGTTCGTTTGTTCGTTTGTTCGTTTGTTCGTTTGTTCGTTTGTTCGTTTGTTCGTTTGTTCGTTTGTTCGTTTGTTCGTTTATTTTGTTCTTAATTCTTATACGATGACCGACTCGATTGTTTGTATGTGCTGGGGGAATTAACTCCTAGTCATCCCGTTCTGCAGTGCTCGATTCTAGTTTCATCGATGAAGGTTTTTTGCCATATTGATCTTTAAAGATTGGCAGAGTTTGCATTCCAAGACGTCAGAGTTTGAGCTACCTTCTGTCTTCAGTTCTTTAAGTTTCTTGGAATCTTGCCCAATTAAATTGTCACCTGATTCACTATCACTTACACAAGTTCTATAATGAAGGATGACTCTTACGTTTGAGGAGTTTTTCTGTGAATACGACGTTTCTCATAGTAGCTGTTTCTAAGGTATTGGCATGCCGGGTTTTTTTCCGTATGACTTGGAGAGACGATTCAGGTTCTCCGCTGCTATTGATGCACGCGCATCAAACCAGGGTGCTTTGGGTTTCATCCGAGCCTTTTTTCCTCGGTATTTTTTGCGCTTTTTCCTATTTTGGGTTAGTATTATTATTAGGAGTAATTTTTGTCGGCAACATCATTTAGACTCTTAACAATACCTTGACTTAGGACGTATTCACGTCTTCTATGTTATCAACATCAGAGTTCTATTATACTTTCAATTTGGGTCTGCAAACTGAGGGGTATTTTGTACGCAATATAGCGATACCGGTTCGCTTCATTTTCAGCCCGTTTCCATTTATGTATTTGGGGTTGCATCTTTCCAGGGTTTTCTGTTAGCGCTTTCCCGCGTCGGAGATAACACTTTTCCATTTTGTTTGCAGAAACACGGTTTGTGGTCAGAGGAATGTGTGAGTTCTAGGATTATGGAATGAAGGATACACTCTCGCGGGTGATTAGGGGTAGCAGGCAAACATAATTCAATCTACACTGCTTCCGTTGTAGTTAACCGAGGTTTGAAAATCTCCGAATATGATCTCCAAGTGTACACCCAGTTAGGATTTGTAGATTGTTGCATGCTAAGAAGTCTAGAAAAAAGAGCTCCCTTTGACTTTGAGTTGTGTTATTTTGGCCTTACTGAATTCTCTCGACCGGACTCAGGAACACTTATAGGTAATTTACTTCCGGTTCATTGATCATCACTGAGCTCTTATGGTGTGGGTTTTTTTACCGGCAGTTCTTTGCATTCAGATCACCTACAGGAGTGTTTTCCTAAATTGGGGGTTTTGGCCTAACATTCCATAAGAGATTAATGGCTATACAATGTAAACTAAAGTGTAAATAATTATTCGCAGACCTGTGGTCGGGAAATGGACTATATCTTTTATCCTTTTGATCTATGGACCACTTAAATTTACAGGCATATTTAGGCAAAGCGTCTACCCAGAATATATATGTATATCTGTATATGTCCCCGACAATCTGTTTGTAAAACCGGGGTCTAGAAAACCCATTTCCGATGCTCCTGAAACTTGAAACTTTGTTACAGTCGATTTGGTCAAGTCTAGACGCCCTGCACAATTTCAGATCGCTAAACACAATTTAACATGGTTTTTAAAGCCCCTGGAATCTGGGAATTTTGGGATTTTACCGAAATTTGTATAAACATGCTGGCGCGTATTTTGCGCAAATTTCTCAAAAAACTTCACATATATTTCTTATTCCTGTCATATTTAAATTAAAAATAGAATGTTATGACTAAAATATACCTGCTGAACTTCTTTCGATGAGTCTTTATGCTTGAAAAACACTAAAGGGGTTATCAGTAAAGGGGGTATAAAAGTCATGGCGGTAAATAGTAAAGGGGGTAAATAGTAAATGGGGTTAAATAGTAAAGGGGGTAAATAGTAAAGGTGGGTAAATAGTTAAAGGGGGTAAATAGTAAAAGGGGGGTAAATAGAATAGAGGGTAAATAGTATTGTGAATATAAGAGGCACGGTCATGCTTGCCAGCATGGTGTAATAATTATCGGTCCTTTATTTGGACGGACATTACATGAACGGAATAATTATGACCGGACATTAATATGAACGCTCGAAGGCATATCAAATCATCAAAAATCCGAATTTTTTCAATTTTTTGGACGTTTTTTAAAGTTCAGCAAATGATTTTAAATCCATTTTTTTTTATACAGTAAAGTAAGAAAAGCAGTCATTAAGCAGTAAAACATGTTTAAACCATATGTACATGATTCAGAGTCTAATATCACATATTATCTCTTCATCAAATGGTTTTAGTGCATGAAAATAGTCCAATGCTTAAAAAAAAGCAACAGTGATTTCTAGCTTTATGGAAAACCTTTTTTTCTCAACCTACCCCGGTCCCTGATTTCAGTGTTAACTTTTACAAGCCATTCGGCGTGAAGTGGTTTTATCTTAGACAACTTTAGTTAACCTTATACCTTCACGTGAGTTTCCTAGCACTGTTTCATTCCCTCCCCTCAGTAATATGCACTAAAAAAAGTCAGACAATGTCCTTGGCAACACGATTTACGCGTAATATCTAGAGGGGGCTGTGGAACCAAGTTTGTCATGTTTGGCGGGGACTCCGACTAGCTCATTGAACTTATGTTGTTGAGTGCCATAATTTCGTTGATTTTTCCGCCAAGTGCCCCAAGTGACCCTTGATAAACATCATATTTAGTAGAGTTTTCTGTGCCTCCGGCAGACCAAGGAGACCTTTCCGTGTTAACTTACGGCACAATAAAAGTTTTATAGTTGCATATATTTTCTGGACAAAAAGTTCGAACTGGAAATATTTTTGAAAAAATTTCCAACGGACATTAAATTGGACGGACCTTAATTGAACGGGACTTTTTTTGACGGACATTAAGATGAAACGCTAGGGCCTCCTCAGTGTTCAAGTTTTGTCCGTCAAATAAGGTCCGATAAGGTATGTCATAATCCGACTCAGCTACTACCTTCGGGATTATAACACAATCATAACATTCTAACTCAATTAAATTTCAATTCACTCGATCTTGTTGAAATGTTATCTAAACCCGCCTAAAACCCACCACATAGAAACACCCAATTCAGGAGTTGACTAGCTCGGAAGTCCCATGTCTGCCCGCTGAGAGAAAGAGAACCTTTAACACATTTCAATTTAATATAATCGATCGTTAAATGTCCCAATGTTAACGAAAAAATCTTTAAGATAATTGTCTGATTTCGGGTAAGGGGTCGTTTCACATATAATATTACGTACCAGCCGAGGGGAGGGGGTTCCCAAATGATTATGGGGGAGGGGGTCAGGGGGGGGGGGGGGGGGGGGGTGGTAGGGTTGGCTGTTGATTAATACGTGAACAAATTTTTTTTTTTCCTTTAGAATATAACACTTTGGACAATTTTTTAATTCAATATTCATTTCACTTAGATAGTGGTGTGAAATTTAGGAATGGATCGGGGTATGCCGGCTGCTAACGTAAGTAGTTGGAGGTGCTTGGCCGGACAATCATATGTATAACAATGATTTCGGCTCATTACTGATTAGGGAGGCCGTTAGCATGTAACGTTTAGAGAAAAAGTTTTTTCCAGGGGAAAACATCAATAACGGGAGGGGTTGGGGGTGTTGAAAATGCTAAATATTGAATACGTAATATTTGAACAGGACCCCTCTAAACACTGTTCATGGGAAAGGGAAGCGGGTAATAACTAAAACGCTAGCTTGTTATCCCAATACCAATAGAAAACAAACTATCAATTTCAAATAATATAACAAAATCAATGTCACCAAAAAGTCGCCTTGGTTTAATACATAATATTATCTTCATCAAAACCCTGCAAGTGCAATGAGATAACATTTCACACCAAATTCTCGGATTACGAGCCAAAAAATATTAACACTATATTTGGCTATTAAACTATAATGTTCTAACTTCTCTGATACACTCCCTTAGTTCTGATAGAGCAACTCCATTACAGAGATTTTCATTTTCGAGAAATATTCGCAAGAAGAAGTTCCACACCGGTGATCCGGTTTTTCGTTCTTGTTCTTAAATTGCCATTTCAATTCAATAAATTCAAATTCTCGATCCTGAAATATGCATCAATCAATGAAGTTTGTAACAGAAGACATATCATTTTAAATAGGAAATTTTTAGTGATAAAACAACTTAGAAAACTACAGATAGAAGCACATAGGCTAATATAAATAACAGGACTCACCTTTTTCTTCATCGTTAATCACACCACTCTTCTCTCCAAGATCTACCATCGGGAAGGAGGCCCCGCTATCAGCTGCAGTCGCTATCCATCCTGAAAGGGGAATATAGCACGGTTGGAATGGTAGAAAGATAACAAATATTTTAATGCATCTCGTGTAACCGTCGAGCCAAATGTTATGTAACCAACCTTATGTACACCAATCACGCTAATTCCGTGAGAGCTAATCAAAATGTCCGCTTCAAAGCAAAGAGACAGAAAGCCTGCTTCAAATCCAAAATATTGTACCTGTTCTGGGAGAGAAGTCTACAGGTTCAAGTACCCCGACACTCAAACTTTACAATGGAAGCATACTGTACACTGTCGTTAGCATAGCCTATAATCACTGCTCTCTGAGGATAGGAGATTTTCAAAGACATACGTATAAAAGCACCTTAACACGTCATCATGATCATTATAATTGAATGATGGAATGGTTCAGCGCAGTTGAACGGTTTAAAAGCTCATGGATCATCGACGGTTATCAATCTACCAAAACGCGCCACGAGTTCGACTCGTTGACGTTTGGATTTGAACAAAATATTATAAGAGTGTCACTCCGTAAAAAAGTCACCGACTCATACTCTTAAAGAGTTCTCTCGGTTGACATCTTGCTCTCTTGCAACCCAGTTGGCAGACCCTCGTCCTCCTTTAAACTTCGGAGGTTTCGTCTTCAGCGACATTCACGAAATGAT